GGCTTACTTTTTGGTGAGGGGTGAGGGAGGATCTTTGGATGTTTGATTACGGAGGGCTTCTTGTTGTAAGGGTTCAAGAAACACGGCTTTTGCGTTTTGGCCGTTTCTAGCTTGAGGGGGGGTCTTGGGGCAGGAGTTTTTGGAATTATTGGCCCCGTGATCATTGTGGAAAGTCTCCATACTGACATACTGCAGGTGGACAACGTCCTTGTGGGCATTGAAGCTACACAAGCAGATAGATAAATAGACAATCCAACAGACAAATGAACAAATGAATAACTAAATAGCTAGCTAACTAACTAACTAGTTAGCTACCGAATTAATTAGCTAACTAACTAATTAACTAACTAATCTCTAACTAAACTTTAGTGACTAGTTGTAAGTACAAGTGCATAACCAAAGAAAATATACAAACATGCATCGACATGTTAAATATACATAAATATGAATACATAAATATAAATAAATATAAATAAATACAAACAAATATAAACAAATATAAATATATAAATAAATACAAATAAATACAAATAAATATAAACAAATATAAATAAATATAAATAGATATAAGTAAATATAAGCAAATATGAATATATATATATATATATATACACATGTATACATGCATAATATATGCACACACACACATATATATATATATACATACGTATATATATATATATATACATGTATCTGTATATGTGTAGGAACATGTATATGTATATGTATATGTATATATATATATATGTACATGTAGATGTACATGTATATATATATATACACATGTATGTATGTATGTATGTATGTATGTATGTATGTATGTATGTATGTATGTATGTATGTATGTGTGTGTAATGCATGTACATACACATTTCCATATGGTATCTATCATATATATATATATATAGAGGTATGCATCTCTTTAAACACAAATACATATATATATATATATATCTATATCTATATCTATATCTCTATCTATATCTATATCTATATCCATATCTATGACTATATATATATATATCTATACCTATATCTATAGCTATATATATCTATCTATCTACCTATTTATCTATCTATCTATCTATCTATCGATCTATCTACCTATCTATCTATCTATCTATCTATCTACCTATATATACATACGCAAAGCAATGAGCACGCACATGCATACATATAAATGTCTCTGTTTGTTATCCTTTTCTCTTTCTGTCTATATATTTATATATACATGTATATGTACACTCTGCACATACATATCTCCATGCATATATATCTTGAGTACTCTATCTTTTTGTCTTTCTCTCTCCCGCTGTATTGAAATATGTGTATTGTCATTCCGACGCTACACGCTAAAACAAGCTACCGGGTACTGCCTGGTTGTGAGGTGATCGTGGTCCGGGCTGAGAGCTTGCCGTTTGAGGTGTAATCTTTCTCAAACCCTAACCCAGCGAGCCCAATAGTTCTCAATTAAGGAACGTACCTTGAAATTTTTGGACCTTTAACAAATAGTTTAAGGTATATTCCTTAGTTAAGGGGTATTGGGCTCTCTGTCTCTGGGAAGCCGCAAAATCTGTCGGCGTAATGTCGATCCGATCCGTGATGAAACACCGCCATTTCCCGTCTACAGGATTACAACAGGGACCCCAATTTTCAGGCCCGTAAGACAAGGGGGTTTGCTAAGCAAGGGCTCCAAAAGCTTCCTCCCACGTCTCTCAACAAGCAGCAAACACAATACTCCCTGCTATGATAACTTGAGTTGACCTTGCACCCCAAGCCCTAAACCCCTAAAGAATAAACCCATACTCCTCAACCCTAAACCCCATGTCCTACACCCCAAACCCTAAACCCTAAAGCCTAAACCCCAAGCCCTAAACCTTAAATCCTAAACCCCAAACCCTAAACCTTAAATCCCAAAACCCAAGCCCTAAACACTGCAGCCCAGGTCGGCCTCATTATGTCGGCGAAGGGAGCATTTCGAAAGGAGAGTCGCTGCAGTGCCTTGTCGATTTCGACTGGCCTCCTTACATGTTGTGAAGAAGCCCTAAACCCTAAACCCTAGGTATCTATAAGTTCGGTATATCTATCTACATATTCATATGAATATCTTTTCTGTACACAAAGCAGCGGGCAGAGCAGTTTTCATCAGAAGCTGTGCGACATGGGTTCGTTGGTTCCTCACTACAGGGGGGATATCGCCTCCGTGAAATCACTTGAATGGACGGTTTGATCTATACCTGTTCCAAATCCAGGCCGAAATCAGTACAGTCGTTCTTGCAAAGAGCCTATTTTGCTATCTCTTATGTTTGCACCCATGTTTCTGAATCCACTATTTGTGCATGTTCCAACGTGTTTTGCATTTACTCATTTACTTTTTTATTGATCATCTTCCTACCGTTGTTTGCACTTACTTGCTTACTAACCCTTCTATCGCTGCTGTTTCTTTGCCTGTTGCAGGTGTTCAGCCACAAAAGGCTCCATCCATCGTCGCAGTGCTGCCTGAGTGCGAGGGCGCTTAGTCGGCCTGCCTATGTTTTCCTCAGGGGCTTCAAGAGAACCCTAAACCCTAAACCCTAAACCCTAAACCCTAAACCCTAAACCCTAAACCCTAAACCCTAATGGGATGACTGTAGGTAGGATTAAGGATCCCTTCTTTAAGGACTGCTCTATGGGAGTTTCCGAAAATTAGGGTACCCTATTTGGGGGTCCTTATAATACGGATCCTACTATTTAGGGTGCTGTATTAGGATCCCTTCTTTAGGGACTCCTATATGGGATTGCCGAACCTACCTTCATCCTACCCCCTGAAGCCCGTTGATCTGCCAGCATGTCGAGAGGATCTTCGCAGCAAGCATAAGCCACAGGTCTCGCAGCTCCATGGGTTTCGTAGCAATGCCCTGGTAAGCCCTTAACCCTAAAACCCTCAAACCTAACCGTAAACCCCTAAACCTTAAACCCAAAGCTGAAACCCTAAACCCTTACACAGGCTGGGGTCCGCCTCAAATGGCTGAAGCATTTTTCTGTGCATGTTGGCTTGCCCTTGACGGCTGCCTCTCTTCCCTTGCAACTGCTGGCTTATGTACACAGGAGCTTCTTAAAGATCTTCCGCTTGTGGAAGCAGAGGTGCTGCGCAGTGTCAAGCAAGGCATCATGCGAATGTTAATGTCCAGCTAGCCCCGTTTTCCATGGCCTGCAGCATTGCATTATTGCAAGGTGCAGTGCGGGCTCCCTTTAAGCATCGCTTTTCGAGCCAAAGAATCTGCTCCACTTTTAGACTTCACTGGAGGCGCAAAATGAACTGACCGACTGGTGTCCTTGCCACGAGCTTTTGAGTTTGCACGACTTCCGAAGCCAGTGCCGTTTTGTCACCCCGCCGCATGGTGCACACCTTCGACTAAAATCGCATTCGGTTGCTGTCTGTCCATGTGACAAGGTCGTCTAAGCATCAGCGGGGTTAGGCACCAGAATCCCAGGCATCGTCTTTGTTGTTTCTGGCTGGTTTCCTTCTTGCCATTTCAACTCAATGCCAGGAAATCCCGGTGAAAGAAACCCTGCAGCGCTTTGCAGCTCATATAACATGCCAATAGCAAAATCGTGTGCGCGGGCTAGCAAAGTAGAAGAAAATGAGCCGGAATGAAGCGTGCGACAGTGCGAACGCTTGTCTTTTCCCTTTTCTTCTCCCTGTGCCTCTCAGGCTGATGAGAAGCGTTCGCAGACAGCGGGAAAAGAAAGAGCAAACACACCAAGCATAATTGTCCCAAGGTCATGTGCTTGGGGTTTGGGTGCGTTCGTGTGCTGTCTTCGTTCACACTATGTTACCAGCAGGAAGGAGCGAACGCAGATCAGTACGAGAGAAGTTTTCTAATTACAGGAGCTCTTCTGAATGACCAGAACACTTGTAATTTTTTATGGTTTCATGAACGCCGGACCGCTGGACGAGCACGCGCCAGAACCAAAACCAACAAGAAGGTATTTCTCGGCTCCAGTTCGCTCGCGGGGCATGTAGAAGTCGGCTCAGGAAATTGTCAAGGTAGGTCTTGCGGTTTGGCCAAGCTCGAGAGAAAGGCAAAGGCAAACCTCAGATCAAGTCTCATCAAGCTCGAATGCAACCAAGCTCTAAACCCTAAACCCTAAACCCTGAGCACATTCGAGACTACGACCCGTCGCACTGGTGACCAGTTCAAGGCTCCTTAACCCCTCATGTGGCAATTACGTTTCGACTTCGCTGAGTTATGTCTCCTGACGGCTCCAAGGTATGTGTATGCAAGTATGCCTATGTATGTATGCAGGCAAAGATGTCCAACTCTTGATTCCCTGAGTTCATAAAGCGCAACATCTGGGCAGGCAAGGTTTCGGTTTCTGACGTTCAAAGCAGCCTGTGCTAAAGGATCTCCCGCTTGCTTCGCCAGCATGGGTGCGCCGAGGCGGCTCCGTCGATCCCACCGCGCAGCGAGCCGCAGGCTCTGAATTCGCGGGTCCGTCTACACTCTACTCGTTGCATACCTATCTATCTGTCCTGTATCTTCTATCTACCTACCTGTCTATCTATCCCTCTGTCTGTATGTGTATATACAAGTATCTGGAGACACAGAATCAGATGAATTCGTTTTTGGCCAATGCTGAGTGACATTGTGGATTGTAGATGACCTCGGTTGACCACTAGCGCAGATTCCGACGACAACAACAACTACGACAACTGCTGCTGGTTTTGGGGTGCAGGGTTTATTGGGGTTAACTGTGCGGATCTCATTTAGGGTTTACGGATTTGGGTGTGGGGGTTTAGGAGGTCAGGGTTTCAAGGTTTCAGGCATGTTCAAGGCTTGTGGCAGATCGACACTCCTGCCTCCACGCACTCTCTGCCTGGGGGCGTATGCCTGTTCATGCAGGTTCACCCTGCTCCTGTTCTGGTCTTGTATGCACTTTCCCGCGTTTCCGTTCAAAATTCGATTAGTTGACGGAAGTCACCGAAGCTTTCCTCATCCTCCGTCTTGAGCTTCCCCATGGCGCCGCACGTGTGCTTGGTTCCGGCGCTGCTGGCAGCAATTGTCAGTGGCCCGGTCTATGTGGTGGCTGAGAGCTGCACTACGGGAGGCTCCGGCAAGGGCCTAGCCCTGGTGCAAAGGGCCCGCTTGTTGAGGACATGGGTTGGCCAGCAAAATCAGTCAGATATTCCGATACTGTTCCCTCATTTTTAAAGTGCATTCTTAACGGTTGCAGTCTCCTGAGAGTGTCCGAGGCCACCCATGTCTTTCAGAACTGCAGGACGAAGTTTGCCGCAGAGCACGAAGAACTCGAAGAGCACGATCGAGCGGGCATTCCCTTGCGTGGAATGCATCGCAGTCACGATGAAGGTCGGCGTGTACCACCCGAAAGAGTCAAGCTTATACCTCTGCAGAAGAGCCCAAAAAGCGGGCCAATAATATGGAAAATGCGGGTATCCACCCTTTTCAATATCTCACCTGTGCTAGAGCGGTGGTTCCCAAAAGACATAGCTCCATCATTCCGTGGAAAAATCCTCAATTTGCACTAGAATCCATTCCTTGCACATCGCTGCAATCCCAGCACCAGGTCGTCATGACGACATGGGCGACCTTCTTCAAAGCTTGGTGGCGACAGCCGTGCGAGAGGGAAGGAACCTTACGCCAGTAGAGCGTCAGGCCAGATAAATGTCTTGCATTTCTTCAGGGATTCCGTCTCAAGAAGTGTGCAGATGCACGTGTCCCTTCTCAGAGAAACACACAGACAGACCGGTAGCCCTTGGCAGTTTGCAGTCCATGATGTGTCGGATGGTATTCAGTGCGCTGGGGCATTGCTGCGATCTTTCTGAACGACGATGGGGAGTATAAAGACTTTGGTCTTGATTCCTTGCAGCCAGAAACCATATAGCCGCGAGACACAGCATGGGGGCTCGTCTAGGTCACGTAGCAGGCCCTCTGCACTTTGGGGGCGGGGAGGGGGCGGGGGACGGGGCAACGCTCAGGGGGTCTTGATAAAGTCGGATCATCAGGGAAGGAATGTGGTTGTAGCTGTACCCTATCATGATGTTTTGTTTTTTTGGGTTTAGGGTGTTTAAGATTTTAGTCAGCAAGTCCCGCTTCAAAAAAGGGTTAAACCACTTGGAAAGGGTTGAATCAAAGGGTTTAGGGTTTAGGGCTGTTCATGTCAGGCCTTCGACGATATGAAGGCGGTGCTTGAAAACACAACCGTGGCAAAGCTGCAGGAGGGAACCGCAGAAAGTCTCTGCGTCTTTTATCACGGTTCAGGGCTTTATGCTGTTTTGTGTTGCTTATCTTGGGAGGGGGTTGGGGGAGGAACATTTTGGTGGGAACCTAAACCCTAAACCCTAAACCCTAAACCCTAAACCCTAAACCCTAAACCCTAAACCCCTAAACCCTAAACCCTAAACCCCGAAACCCTAAACTCCACGAGAATTTTTGGAAGAGCAAGCCCTGGTACAGGACGCTGCGACGGCCGACCAGCAGTCCCTTCATGACATTGCCCAAGCCATGGAGGACTGCTAACCCGCACTAGGGTTTAGGGTTTAGGGTTTAGGGTTTAGGGTTTAGGGTTTAGGGTTCACACTAGGGGCCGTGTACAGTAGTTGTAACACAGAAGCAGATTGTATATCCCACCAAAGGCCACTCGGAATAGGACAAGGGCCCATATGGTAGCTTCTCGAGATGATGGTCCCTTTTCGGGCCACTATTCTAAGGCGACCCTTAATGTTATCACTGACCATACCAAGGGCCCATGCTTTGGACCTCGTCACTATTCTAAGGCGACCCTTAATTCTAGCACTGACCATACCAAGGGCCCATACTTTGGACCTCAGACAGGACTGCGGGTTGAATCTGACATCGCAGAATACGACTTTGCAGTTGCAGAAAAGCCTGGCCGTTGCGGCCCACGATGCCTACATGGAGGCCGGGGATCTTTCTGATGTGGGGTTTAGGGTTTAGGGCTACAGGGACTGCCCGTAGCTGATGATGGGGTCGAACGACAGATAGGGGCCCTGAGAGTAGGTTATAGCATATTTTTTGAAACAAGAATTTAGTTTAGTTGACACAGGGCCCTAAACCCTAAACCCTAAACCAACTGCGATTGTGAGCATAATGGCAAGCCGCCTGTTGCCAGCAGCAGACGAGGCCAGCCTTGCTGCAAACTCGACTGCGGTGGTGCTCGCAGAGAGAGACTAGGCGGCAATTTGGGAGACTTGAAAAATTTCCCTTATGGTTTCTATGGTTTAGGGTTTAGAGTTTAGGGTTTAGGATTCTATAGAGGTACCTATTCATAAATACTTTTCAGGGCCCCAAAACTACAACCCAGGAGAGGTTGCAATGTCAACATTCATGGCCGAGTCCCCGCAGCCGACAGTGGCGACGAATCAAAGTCATTCTCCAGAGCTGGTGAGTGAAGTGCGGCGCCTGGTGGAAGCTGAGATGAATAGGGCCGTTTCCTGTTGTGGAGTTGTACGGGGCTGCGACATGTTCATGAAAACTTCTACTTGCCCTAAACCCTAAACCCTAAACCCCCTAGTCCCAAAACCCTAGGAGTGGGCCACAGATTACCTTCAGCATGCAGATGCCCTGGAAGCTGCCTCCAATGAGAGTGACACGCTCCTGGACAACCGCACTGCCCAGCAAGAACTCTGGGAAGAGGCTTACTGCGCATGGTTGGCGCAGAAGGAGTTGATGCTGACCTCCTACAATTTGTGCCTGGGTTTCGGGTTTGTACATTTTAAAATCCTTTTAACACATCCTGGCTGGGAATGTCGCATCCCCAAAGCAGCCTTCCCTGTGAACTTGGGCTGCAAGGTGCTGGCAGGCATCGGCACAGTCCTACAACTCCACACTCCTGGGTGTTCAGGCAAACACTGAAGCTCGCAGACTTGCTTTGTCTACCATCCTCAAGTTGACGTGTTTGGTCGACGTCATCAGCTCGCCCACTCAGGAACAAGAAGCAAAGCTGAATGTTTGCGAGACGCAGGACTACAACACCAGCGACATCGACGTTGCCGAGCCAGTCCTTCCGGAAAAGACCGACTTGAGCTCTGCGACGCAGTTCCCCTTGGAGGTGGACTTTGATTGCGCCCCGCCCACAACTACTTCGGCTGCCACGGTGGCTACGACGACCACCACTGCCGCGGCTACTACAACCACCACCAGTACCACGACAGTCTTACCGCACATCGTGTTCAGCGACACCAACGGCGGAAGGCTCATCCGATGCTGGGCACCCTTTGACGGTACGGATGGGTCTTGTGAAGAGCTGATTTCCCGTGGATGGTCCGGACCATACCGTCAAGAAGTGCAGCCCAGGAGGAAGTTGCAATGTCGTCGTCGGCGAGAGTGGTGTGGCTTCCCAAACTGCTACAACCCTGAATTGGCCCAAGGCCGTCGCCATTGACGGTAGCAATTATGTCGTTGTGGAGCGGGGTAATCACCGCTGCCAGCGATGTCCAATGTCAGGGGGCAGCTGTGAGACCATTCTCGAGGGTCTGAACAATCCCACAGATGTCACTCTTGCACCGGATGGCAACTACTTCATCACTGAGCACAACGGCATGCAGGTCAAGAATTGCACGCCGGTCGTGGGCTCAGAGTGCACGACGCTGATCGGAAAGGGTGTGCGGAACGACCTCTACTACCCCGGAGGGCTCTCCATTGCCAGCGACGGCCACTACATCGTTGCGGACATGCACCACGTCTTCGACTGCGACCCCAACGCTTCGGGTCCTTGCACCCAGGTTGTCGGAGGTCAAGGATCTTCGAACACGCACGTGAACGAGCCATGGAAAGCAATCAAGACACCGGAGGGAGAATACATCGTCGCGGACAACAGGAACAACCGCATCCAGAAGTGCCCGCCAACGCCGGGCCAGGCTTGCAGCACCGTTGCAGGACAGGGCAAAGGCGGTATGAACATTGGCATGCCTCGACTGGGCTTGATGTATTTCCCACGTTGAGGCAGAAGATGCTTGTGCCTGTTGATTCTCCTGAGCCGTGAGAAACATCCACGTGACCTGGCACAAAGACCTTGCACCAGTCATGTTTCTTCGCCAGTCATGTTTCTTCGCAGCTCATTTTGTGTCCACAAGTGACTATAGAAGCAAGAGCTAGATGCACAGGTGCGGCTGTTTTGAAGCCAGGTTTGAAACACCTGCCAAGCCCTTGCTATAGATTCTGGGGCAGCTCTTACTCAGCACATGCAGGAAAGAATTTTGATTTGTGGCTGCTGTGCCTTAAGGCGACCCTTATATAGAACTCCATAGTAGGATTTGTTTTCCGGGGTTCTGTGACGTCAGTGATTCGAGCGGTTTAGGGTTTAGGGCCATAGCGCAGCGCAAGCAAGAAGTCTAGGCCATTTTCAGGTGGGCAGTTACCGTTACAGAAGCCTTATAGAAGGTCTATATACCTTATGAAAGCCTTATAGAAGCACTATATACCCTAAACTCCCCACCTGTAGTTTCCTGCAAAGAAGGGTCGAGGTTTCCAAAGATTTCGACATGGAATCCGGAGCAAGCCGCAAGCATGCGACGCCCTCGGAATGCACAGAAAACCCTAAACCCAAAACCCCAAACCCTAAACCCAAAACCCTAAACCCTAAGACCCTAAACCCTAAACCCTAAACCCCAAGACCCGAAATTCCATAAACTACACATCCTGCACCCCCAAAGACCTCCAAATCCAAAACACCAATGGAAGATCTTGAGCCTAAAAAATTACCGCGCCCTGATGACCTGATACACCTCAACTCCTCAACAACATGAATGCGGGTTTAGGGTTTGGGTTTAGGGTTTAGGCCTAAATAATTACCTTAAGGGTTTAGGGTTTAGGGTGTATAATTACCGATACTATTCTAAAGGCTCTCGATTGTAATTATGGTAGAAGGCGCCCCAAAAACCCGATTGAAAATGGTTTAGGCCCCTACATTACATGGGTGGTTGTCAAAATTATGGTCCCTTTTTGGGTCCTTATTATAATACGGCACCTATTATTTAGGGTACCCCAAAAGGGACCCTAATTTTGACAACTACCCATATAGATCCTGGCAGCCGTAGAGACCTTGAGGCCATAAGCACCTTGAAACAAGCCCTAAGACTCCGGGTTTAGGGTTTAGGGTTTAGGGTTTAGGGTCTAGGGTCTAGGGTTTAGGGTTTAGGGTTTAGGGTTTAGGTCCGAACCCTGAAGCCCGACAGTCATGTCCATCCCCTGTTGAGGAGTACTGCATCCGGCACTTTAGGGTTTAGAGTTTAGAGTTTAGGGTTTAGGGTTTAGGGTTTAGGGTTTAGGGTTTAGGGTTTAGGGCCCAAGCCAGGCGCGGAGGTTTGTCTTGACTGAATGTAGGGCATCGGTTTAAGGGTTGTTCTGGGTTCCTCTGCGGTTTCCAAAAAGGGTGCCACCGGGAACCAAGGGAATCGTGCTGCAGCCGTTCCGGGCTTTCCGATACAAACGCCCCAGAAGGTAGATTCGGACTTTGGGTTAAGGGTTGAGGTTTCCCCAATCTTTCGGTTCCGTGTCTCTGTGCCTTGAAAGTTTGAAAGGGACCGCTGCAGCACTCAGTTTGACCCTGATGCAGCTACGAAAGCTGTCAGTTGTATTTCAGCACTCTTTACGGCACGTTCTTTGGACGGTTGCTCGCTTGCCGCAGTGTGGCTGGGACGATGCACAAGTGCAGTGCCGTCATGCAATGATTCTACCTACAGAGTCAGGCGGACCACCATAGCAACGTAAGACACCTCGCGCACCAGACTTCTACTTGTCAGACTGTCAGTCACGAGAAGCCCGGCAACCCGCCTCCCCAGCTAGCGCCTCTGCGATCCGGCTGTGGTGCTCCAGCAATGCGGGGATGGGGCCGCGCCTCGAGCCCTGTGGTGCCGAACACGGCAATGCTCTATGTTCCACAAGGGCCCGAACATCGCGATGCACGGCGAGTTAACGGTGCACTGGAACGGGGCCTCAACACAGTCATTGAGTTCGTGAACCAGGCAACCCACCAGGCCAAGTACGAGTTGGAGGAGAAGTGCCACGACCTCCTCAACCAAATCCAAAAAGACTCCAGTGATCAAAACCAGCGCCTCAAGGATTGTGTAGCCGACATACAGACCACGAAGGCGGAGGTGATCAAAGCGATGTCAGACTTGCGGACGCGGATGGACCAGCACGAGGAGGTGGGCCCTAAACCCTAAACCCTAAACCCTAAACCCCAAACCCTAAACCCTAAACCCTAAACCCTAAACCCCAAACCCTAAACCCTAAACCCTAAACCCTATGAGGTGGGTGATCGCCAGGTCAAGAAGGCCACCGCTAGTTTGGAGCAGGTCGGCCAGGACAGTTCAGGGTGAAGGCCTTGTACAGGGGGCCTTAATAATTAGAATAGGGGTGTTGGGGTATATTCTACTATAGTTGTAACAAGGAACCCCAAAACCCTATTCTAATTACTAAAGGGTGAATGCTTACAGTAGGCCTGAGTGTTTAGGAGTTGCACTGACGAGGCTAGGTCCTCGCAGATGGCGCAGAAGGGGCTTTATAGTGTAACTCGTCTCCAGGTTCTTTTACGGTTTAGGGTTTAGGGTTTAGGGTTTAGGGTTTAGGGTTTAGGGTTTAGGGTCGACATTTTTCTGTGATTGCGTTCAGGACTTGCTGAAGACAGTTCAGAAAGAGCAGTTGGACCATCACCAATCCTTGATGGAGTGCATCAGCCGAGTGGAGAGAACCAAAACCGAGATGACCAAGGCAGCAATGGGAATGAACAGTTAAGGGCTTTTCAGTGTGGGGACTGAATAGCACAGCTCTCACATTTAGGGTTTAGGATTTAGGGTGCGGTGAGGTACGGGATATCTCTAAGCAACGTTTCCCTCCAGGGCGCCGCCCCAAATGACAACAAAATCAACACCCCAAACCCTAAACCATAAACCCTAAACCCTACACCCTAAACCCTACACACTAAACCCTACACCCTAAACCCTAAACCCTAAACCCCAAACCGTGTCAGATCATGGGGCCGGGGTGGGCCTTAAACCTTGCAAGAAGCCCGTCCAAAAGGGAGGGGTGGTCGGATTGGGATTAGGGTTTAGGGTTTAGGGTTTAGGGTTTAGGGTGGGGGCGACGGGGTCCGGCCGCTTTGAGGCAGCGGAACTTCGGCAAACTATGGAACCATAGACTCGTTGTTTTGTATAGGATGACTAAGACCATTTCTGCAGAAACTATGTAGGACGGTAGTCTGATGATATAGTAATGTAGCCACAATTAGAATTCATGCAGCCAAATTGCAATCCTGCCGCCAACAAGCATTTGGGAAAATCGGCAGCAGCCAGGCAACGGAGGCGCTGACAGAGCGTTCAGAGAAGGATCCTTGTCGCGGAATGAGGCTCTAGAAGTTCTAAAAAAACCTGAACTTGTAAGCCCTGAATGCTAAACCCTAAACCCCTAAACCCTAAACCCTTAAACCTAAACCCGTAAACCCTAAACCCTAAGTCGTGTTGAGGGGAGAAGAGGCTTTCGGGGCTTACGCCGTGAAGTTTGGAGGTTTAGGGTTTAGGGTTTAGGGTTTAGGGTTTAGGGTTTAGGGTTGTTCCAGGTTTGCGTGGGGTAGTCAGTGCAGAGGTCAGAGCTTTACTGGGTTCTCGTTAACGGATTCAGTTTAAGTTACGATAATAGGGATACATAGTAAATAAATAGGGTTTCCTTACCATGGTGACTGAAATTCAGTCTCTTAACAACCCAGTTTTGGTACCCTTAGAACTCACGCATCCTTGCAAGGCTTTGATAGGGATCGCGATGGCCACCATAGACTATTGGTCTACTATTGTGTAATCTAGTCTAGTGTAGCATATTATATAACTAAAGCAGGACTATAATAGTACTATACTACAATACTACACCAGTCTTTTAATGCTATAACAGTACATATTATTACAGTATTTGATAGTACTCTAGTTGTAGTATAATAGCACCTTCCAGCGCACCTCTCCTAAGTTCCTTTCGAACTCAGGACCTCAAAGCTATTGGGCTGCAGCTCAAGGAAGCAACCCGGGACCTCGCTGATAAAGCTGACAGCAAGGTGCTGAATCTAGTGCTCCATGTAGTGGCATTTAAACGTGTCTCAGGTTCGAAGATCCGAAGCGTCGATGGTTTTTAGGGTTTAGGGTTTACGGGTTTGTAGAAGGTTCGATTGGGTGCTTCGTTGAAACTAAGAGTATGTTGCCCTGACACGGGTTACTCCGTAGTCGGGTGATGCCGCCTTCAAGTTAGATTCAGGATCGCTAGATGCTAGATGGGAGTTTCCGAAACAAGGGGTACCTTATTCTGGGGTCCTTATAATATGGATCCTACTATTTAGGGTGCTATATTTGGGTCCCCT